GTCACAGCGGTACACTTACTGCGCCCACACAGCCTAGTCTCGCACCGATCATGGGCGGGGTACTGACGCAGGGCTTCAGCTGGCGCGCGCCGTTCTGGTTCCTCGTGGTCGTCTCCGGGCTGAGCTGTCTCTCGATATTGGTGTTCCTGAAGGATATGTTTCGGCAGGAGCGCAGCATGACGTACCAGAGCGTCCTGAAGAGCCGGCTTAAGGCGCGCTCAGCGTCTGCCACGACGAGCTGTACGGCCAGCATTGCGGAGAAAGAGCCCGTGGGCGTCGTGGAGAACTTGAAGGCCACGGATCTGGAGAAGCAGGACGCCGCGCCCGATGTCGCCGCCGCTCTGCCGGTCATCAAGCTCACGATGCGCGACGTGAACCCGTTTAAGCCGCTCCGCCAGGTTCTGCGCCGAACGAACAACCTCGTCATTCTTTTGCCTCCGGTGCGTCTATGTCCTTGCGTTGCCCGGCGCCGCTGATCCCACCCAGGCCTGATGTTCGCGTTCAACTTTGTCGTGGTGTATTCCGCGTCGCGCACGCTGGAGTCCGCGTACGGGTATAATGCGCTGAAAGTCGGGCTGGTGCTGCTCTCGTTTGGTCTCAGTGAGCGGATAATTGATTGATAAACGATAAAAGATGCGCGCTCACGGGGCACAGGCAACCTCGGGGCAGCATATTCAGCGGGCGCTGGTCGGACAAGACGCTCGCGTGGCTCAAGGCCGCGAACGGTAGGGTCAGCGACCCTGAGATGCGCCTGAAGAGCACGGCCCTGGGGCTCTGCCTCCTCCCGCCCAGCGTGCTCGTGTTTGGCTGGGTCTCGGAGAAGCGCATGCACGTCGCCACGATGTGCGTCTTTCTGTTTTGTGCAGGTTCTTCGCCATGTACGTACTGTTCCGAAAGTGGCTATTGCGTGGACGCTGATGCGTGCTTAGCTGGGCGTACACATTGACGCTCGCGTACATCGTCGATGCAAACAACGGGCCCTCGTCGACGGTCGTCGCCACGAACAGCGCGTTCCGCGGGATCTCGGCATTCGTTTGCAGTGTGGAGGTCGCGGTGCCGCTGCAGGTGCGTTGGCTCGGGCTCTCTCGTAACTGTGCTGACGCTGTGGAAAGGACTCTGTGGGCGATGGTACGTTGTCTGTCTGATTATTGTGTTGTGTATTAACTATTTGCAGGCTGGCAGTATACGATTTGCGCAGGGCTGTTGGTACTGGTAGGACTTTTGGTGTTGCTCGTCGTGCGCAAGGGCGGGGTGTGGCGAGAGGCATCCGAGGCGTGCGAGAAGAAGGCTGAAGAGAGGGTGTAACTAATACATAGAGAATAGACTGTTGTAGCAATAGAATACCTAGAGCAAATGGAGATTCCCCAGGTTCCACTCCATTGTCCGAATTTAGGATTCGTGACATTATGATTGTTCTATTCCACAAGCTAAAATATCTGCAACCTCGACACCAGTCAACAGGGCTGTTGGAACCTTCCAGTGGAAGGGATCCTTGGGGTGTAGTATGGTGGCCAACTTGGCCATAGGTGCAGGACCAGAGCGCTGACTGTTGTCATTCAAATCACCCTCAAGCAGCGAGCGTCGGCACATTTGCTGTCACATTGTCAAATCAATTTCGCCTAGAACAGCTATAAGAATGAGTTTTCTACAAATCAAGAGTGTTATCTTACCGAGATGACAGTTTGTCTTGATCTTCCCCAATCCCCCATTCATTCGTTCTCCTGGGAATTCACTCAGGAGGCCAAGGGGTCCCCAGAATTTCATCTGATCTCCATAATGCATAGCAAGATGATGATTGGGAACTGAATCAAATTTCGGAAATAGTTCTTTTTGAGAGGTTCGATATTGCACATAATGATCCATATATCGGTCTGCCTCCGAGTCTGACGTCAAATAGGATGCAATGATGTTGGTGCATGCTACTAGGTCATAGAAGTTCTTGAACAACCTGTCTCCAGTGGTCCCTTCTCTCCACCAAATTTCTGGCATGACCAGTGGCAAAATGATGGTGAACAGCACAAGAAGATCCTGGGCTTTCAATTTTCCATGTTTCGCCTCACCGAGGTTCGATGGAGGACGTCCAACCCAGGTAGGAATATCAATGTCCCGTATGCAATTTTGAATCATTGCCAACTCGGCTGGCTTAAAATTGAACACACCAGCAAGATCAGTTGGTAGGAAATCTGTGTCCTCATCATCATCACTATCATCATTATCAAACAGCATTTGTGTGTATGTTGAAGCAGTGGGAGTGTCAGAAGCATCATCATCAACATCCATCCATTCATCTTCATCTTCCTGTTGAGCCTGAGGTGTATGTGTCCGTGGCCGGTCTAGACCATCAAGTTCCTGTGATGCCTCTGAAGCCTCCGACTCTGAGTACGCCTCATCATCCTCTGCCTGTTTCAGATCTCAGATGGCTTTCTTTGTGCGGCCAATCCCCCAGAGAATACGGAGATGATGCTGGAGAACACCTTCGAGCCAGTTATGAAGAAAGCCTAGGATAGCATCACGAACGGGATCCCATTTGTACACATCATGCATTGGGTGTCCAACGCACACCATTTTCCTTCGCAGCTTTAGTTTGATCCTTTAGTGTGCTCAATGCCTTCCAGGCAAGAGCCTGGGCTTGAACAGTCGGGCCATCACAATAGTTCCAATTTCTCCAATCAAGATTGTCAATGTCAGCCTTGTGTGCATAGCAAAATGTGCAGAAGCAATCTGCACTGTGGGACAAATAGCCTGCAACTTTGCGAATAGCCCCAGATCCACAATGAGAGGAACAAGTCGAGCAAAAACCGATACACCTTCAGGATTCTTGTGGGTTTCCAGCTCTTTCCCAAGTTCCACCAAAGCATTCATAGCCTCGGTGAGGAAAGGAAGTATGTGGGAAATTGTGTAAACATCGGGCGAGCCTGAAGCCGGTATGAGAGCTATAATAAAAACATTTTCTAGGAGGAAGCGAAGCTCAATGGGAAGGTTCAAACAGTAGAGAACAATGGCACCAACAGATACAACTTTGCCTATGGATCAACAGCCATTAGACTCAGTGCCAAATTCTGTTGTGAAATATCTCACCAGCAATTTTATTGCCATACAGATTAAACCAATCAATGAAAACCGAAAATACCAAATGATATTTTGTCAAGAGATATGAGCGAAGTCTCTGCCATGCAGGACTATCTTGGATATCATGCATCAAGCCATCTGGCTCCTCCTCGAACCAAGTAGAGGATTCTTGGAAGGATTCCTCCAGAGCAGCCTCAATTTGGGGGTGGGCAAGAAAAAAACGGAGCCAAGATTCAAATGATTGTGTGGCATATTGGCACTCTGGAACCTGCTTTAAACCCTTTCGGGTCTTCCGCTGTTTCCATAAGCTTGCACCACATTTGCGGGCTTTAGGGGATCTCCGCCATTGGCACACTGCTGGCATTTTGTCTCTGTATGTCTTGTAGCATTTTGGACAGCAGGCTGTGCGGATAATATCGGGCTCAAGACCCATCCCATAGACTGTTCTGATATCTTTTGGAAGAGTGAACACTGGTGCTGGAAATTTATATCCTCCTGAATGAAGTGCACCAAATATCAGCTGCACAGTTGTGGCCACAATGAGCTAAAATAATGTTGGAATTGCTGCAGCTAATCCCCAATCGAAGATTAAGCCAAGAGACCAGCAGGCAGCATACATTGATCAGTGGATCCAGCACTACTCCCGCAGTTTTGTTAAAAGTGTCACTGGAATCGAGGATCACCAACCTCTTGTAAAATCCGGGATTACAGGTGTTGGGTGGCCCTCAGGTTTATCATTGCTTCGGTTTGGAGTCGGAATACGAGAGGATCTAGAGATGTCGGGTTTTGCCTTGTGGTCCTGAGACTCATGTTTTGACTGAGTACTTTGGCTGACATTGTGTCCAGGCTGCATGTGTCCATGGACAAGGTGATTTTTTTTTGCTGCAGCCATACAAGGTGCATAGACAGACGGGCATGGCAGAAATGGAAAGAAACCTGTCTTTAACCCCCTTCTTATATGTGTTATCCTGCTTCGGATGGCGCTCATGTGCTACCCACAGATCATCAAGGACTTGTGTCTTCTTTTTGTGTTGGCAACTTCTATTTGTGTGCAATTTGTGCAGATACACAATCAGGCTGGAGAGAATCTAGAGCCATGAGCAACAGGAAAATCTCGGTCATCTTGCTATGCTGTTTGAATTATGTATGCATTTCAAATCTATTCAGTACTTCAATGAATTTTGAGGGAATGCGTGGTTGCTCGGGAACTCGATCAAAATCAGTTGGTGATCCTTGATGCAGCATGCCGGAATACGGTGTGAATAGAATCCATGTGATTTCCGATATTTCGGGAACTTAATTAGATCTAGAATCAGTTGTTGCCATCTCTGATGCCGCCTATGCCGAAATAGTCAACCGGTGGTCAGCCGGTAGCCAACCGTCACAGCGACGGTTGACATTTGACCGTTATGGTAATTGCCCGCAGTGTGACACCTGCCAATTACCCCATCAACTCGGGAGGACTGCAACACTACGGACTCCGTAATCTTTGGTGTGTAAATTACACAGCCATTTAACACCCAGCCCTAAACTGCTACGAGAGAAAGACAAGGACCTTTGATTATCCCTTTGTAGGTTGAATACCTGGTTCGGACAAAATTATGAAGATCTTGGGCCGAGGTCAGATGAAAGTTCGGACGAATTAGGCCCACAATGAAAAAATTCTAGACCAAAAGTTCGGACTACGGCGAAACTTTGCGACAAGTCGGAACGACGTTCGGACAGGGGCTGAGATGGTCGAGCGGATATGCGGCGGAATTCCAATTTATGGTGCAATCTTCTTGGAATTTGGGAGCTCATGTCGCATCAATATCAGCACCAAAAACGAGTTCAATTTGCTGTCCAACACACTCCGAAGCAGTACGAAGCACCCTCTACTTACGAGTCGGAGTGTACAGAGAATTTTTCTAGAGGTAACGGACTCAAATTAAGGTGTCATATGGTGTAGTTGGTTTATCCCTTCTGTCTAACACTTTCGCTGGTACACAGGCGATCCTCGGTCCGAGCCCGGGTCGAATCATGTTTTGCCGCTTATAAGCACTGCGGCGATCACCGAAACTTAGTCAGCAAAAAACCCGCTAGAATCATGTTGTTCGTTTAGTGGGCCCAAGTTTTAGTGAGGGAAAAACTCCACTAAAAGAGAGGATCTTTGTCTCTTTGTTTCTCCCACAAAAATTCTGAATTTTTGTGGGAGAAAAAGTTGGGACAAAGGGAAAAGTCACGTGTTCCTGTTTTGTCTGACTAAAATATAGAGTCTTTGTAGGGGAAGGAAAGAAAGAAAGATCCTATATTTTAGTATAGTTTTTTCCCCACTAAAACTTGGGCCCACTAAATGAACAACATGATTCTAGCCCGTTTTTTCCTGACTAAGTTTCGGTGATCGCCGCAATGTAAGGGGATCCATGGGTTCTGATTCGTGCACGGAGAATTTTTTAGAGCCCTAGAACCATTTTTCCGGGAAATTTGAGGTCGGAGGCAAGGTTCGCACAAATATCGGGCCAAGATCTTGCTAGAGGCAGAATTCAGTGGAAGAAAAGTTCGAACAAAAAATTCAAAACGGCCGAAATCGGTATTCGACCTACAAAGGAATGATCAAGGGTCCTGAAAGGCACCACTTTGGCAGGAAATTTGGGAGTTCGAACACCGGCATACCGGGGACCGGCAGTACCGGCGGCATCCCGCGGGGCTCAAAATGCCATCAATTCTGTCATGCCAGCCGCTGTCAGCCGTCCGTGCCAAATACTGGCCTCCCTCACCCAGCATCTCCGGTGCTGCTAGCGTAGTCGGATGCCTCGACAGTATACTTATGTCTCCTAACTCGTGGTCCCTTCCATCCACACCGGCCGGCAGCAGTGACGGCATCGCGGGTAGATTTGAGACTTCCGATCATTCGCTCCTTTTGGAAGCGTGTATCTCCTGAAATTAGCTGGTCACTTCCTTATGCAACTTATGAGCAAAATTGGGCAGGACACTGTGAGCCTCAATTTAAATTTCTCCCCCTACCACAAGCGGACACCATGTTGGCCGAACATTTGGCCATCTACGGCGCCTTCATTCCACATTCTGTAATCAAGAGTGAGAGAACACAGTTAAAACAGTTGTGAAGTTTGTTTATTCTTGTTCCTGATCGTGCCGCCGGGGGTAACGCAAAATTAAAGCAGCAGACAAAACGTAGACATAGGTGGTGCCGTGATGGCCGAACTGATCTCCGCTGACCCGATCGCATTCCGATCATACCTACGTCATACCGCCGGTATGTCGGTATGCCGACTTCCCGAATGGACTCCGCTTTGGATGCCGTGCGTTACCAGTTTCGGACATCAGCGGGAGTGATCGGGCGCCACCGGTCCATGGCCGAGCACCAATTTATCCAATTTATCTCTTCCAAGTGGTCCGGTAATCAGTTATACTGCCTTCAAGGATAACTTGGGTAGCGCCTATACTATATCCGATGTGCCCTGAATGAGGGGTTAGCAGTAAGCTGTCCAGACAACCATCGGCATGTCAACAATTACAGAGTTAAAAAGCACATCCTCAGACAGATATTGTTCATTCTCCACTGTTGCCCACAATGGCCCATCACACTCCGATTCAAATCCGCTTTAACCACATTGTAACTTGCTTGGATTCTACCATGATTACCGTGGAAATGATTTCTAAACACTTGAACACCCCATTCATGGAACCAATGTCCAACACATTGCAGTCACTGTTGATTTCTGTACAGGTGATACTCCTACATGAAATGTACCCAAGCCGGAACTCACTGAAATGCTAGAAAATCAAGAGAAACAAGGCTGATTGTGCCCAAATGCTGGAGCAAATCCATCAAGTGCTCTATGCCATTATCCATGCTCACATCACTTCGGATAGTGGTGCTCAGTTATCGCCGGATACATTGGAGAATATCGGCAACTTTACTGTGTCAGTTTTCAGTTTTGTGGTTATCACTTTACCTCTCGATTTTGACACTTTGGCAGGACCCTGCACAAAATCCATACTTTTGTCGAGGCACAACAGGAGAAAAGCAGAATCAAGCAATTCCTGCGCCAAAATGACACGAGCACGTTGCTGAAGGGTTGTCAGCATGGACTTCATCAGGCCCTCGAGGGTTTCAAGGTGTGTAGAATTGCTTCAAGCTAATCAAAAATGACACCTATGCAGGTTTACGGTGTCCGTATTGTAAATGATGTGGCAAGTATGAAAAAAGATTTCCAAACGGGGCACCAGGAAATACTCGAGTTAATTTCATCTTTGTCGGATGAAGCGAGCTCCGGCAAATTCTCCTCTGTGTGTAGATTTGAAAGCTGTTTCCCTTCAACCACTTATGTCTTGGCAGGTCAGCGGGCTGAGCAGCCGGCGCAATAGGTATGTCCTTGTGTGAAGAATTTATTGTGAACTTATTTTTTTGGAACATCAAGCAGCTCAAACTCTCTCTCCTTGTTGCCAGCTGCGCCGAAGATATTCCACGGTCGCGATAATCAGGTTTCAGCCATCATTCAAACTTTTCGCGAGGGGATGTCACCCAGGATCGCAATCTTGGGAGCAGGCGGAATGGGGAAGACAAGCTTGGCACGAGCGGTTCTCCATCACCCCGAAATTACTGCCAGATATGATCAGCATCGAATTTTCGTTCATTGTGAAACTGCATCGAACAGTGCACAACTTGCTGCCCTCATCGGAGCACATATCGGACTGGAGTCGGAAAAGGACCTTACTCAGCCAGTGCTCCATTATTTTGCCAGCAGTGCAGCTTCACTGTTGGTATTGGACAATATGGAGACACTCTGGGAGCCCATGGAGTCTCGTCGCGGAGTTGAAAGATTTCTTTCTTTAATCACGGCCTTGGATCATCTGGCATTGATTGTAAGGAGCGGGATATAAGTACTGGGATTGATGCTGATACCATTTTAGATCACGATGCGTGGAGCAGAGCGGCCCGCCAATGTCCAGTGGACCCATCCGTTTGTGGAACCGTTAGGGCCCTTGACACAAGATGCTGCTAGAAAGACCTTTATAGACATTGCAGATGATGGCCATGCACTTGAAGATATTGACAATGTTCTGCGGGCGACTGATAACATGCCCCTGGCAATCGACCTTATGGCCCATTCAGTGGATTATGAAGGCTTCTCAAGCACATTTCATCGCTGGGAGACAGGAAATCCCTCCCTGCTCTCCAGCGGACTAGACCGAGGATCAAATTTGGATGTATCAATTTCCCTCTCCTGGCAAAGCCCTCGGCTGGACTCCCCACCCGACGCTCGGCGACTGTTGAGCCTTCTCTCGATTCTCCCGGATGGGCTGTCTGACATAGACCTTGTCCAAAGCAAGATCCCTCTTGAAAGTGCCCTAGGCTGCAAGACTGCTTTACTGAGGACCTCACTTGCATATGTAGATGACCAGAAGAGGCTCAAGCTGCTGGTCCCCATCAGAGAATATGTTGATAGAGTTTACCCCCCTGACACTCTCCTTGTTCAATGTCTCCTCAAGTATTTTACCATCCTCCTGAAGCTGTTTTCCAGGTACAAGGGCAAAATTTCAAATTCGGGCATAGTGCCCCGAATCACATCTAATTTTACAAACATCCAGAGTATCCTATCCAGATGTTTAACCAAAGACAATCCCCATCTCATAAATATAATCGACACTACATGTTCTTTTGACGGTTTTAGTGTTCTTACTGGACATGGAAAGAGTCCATTGATAGCCCGCATTCAAAATGTTCTGCCCGACCCAAGAGATTATCGTCTGGAGGTTAGGTTTATCTCGCGGATCCTTGGTGGATCTGTCCTTCATGCTATTCCGAATGCACACCACCTGATGACCCAAGCCCTGGAGTGTCTACCGCACTTTGATGATCTGAGTATCAAATGTGAGTCTCATTCACTATTGTGTTTAATCTTCAAGACTGAACGGTGATTCACTAGGCAGGCTGTATGACACCATAGCAGACTATTATAGGTTCTACGAAAATGACATTGCTCGCGCTATGAGCTTCTGCCAAACCGGACTAGCGTTGGCTTACTCTGCTGGGAACACCCAAAGCCAGTTGCAATTGCTGGGAACTTTGGTGTGGATCAAATGGCAGATCGGGAATCATTCTGAGGCCCAACAGCATGCATATGAGGCACGGAGGTTGGCCATAACATCTGCAAATCTATATGAAGAAGCCAATGCACTGCGACTCGAATCTATGTGCTGGTACGCCCGTGGGAGCTATGACCACACAATCATCCTCTACAAGCGGGCTAGGGAGCTTCTTGATCTCTGCGGCATGTCGGATAGCCTCTTGAATCAGTCTATCATGGCGGGCCCGGCAGATGTCCATTGGGTAAAATCAGAATATTTGGAGGCTCGCACTATCCACGCATCCGTGCTTCCACATGTTCCCATTGAGAAAGAGCCATATTTTCATGCTGTAACACTGTTAAACCTTGTGCAACTTGATCTCGAGTTCACACCCCCAAACCGAGATATGCAGAGGAACATTGATATGGCCCAATCACTATTCAAAACCATCGGGAATCCAATAGGAAACATCTTCTGTGATAATGCACAGGCAACCATACATCTAGCGCAAGGAAACCTATCGGCAGCAAACAATCTGTTTCGGAAATGCCTCTCGTCAACTTGGGGAAAGGTGGTTGATCCAGCCACTAATTGTTTAGAGCACCTGGCCAATCTTCGTCGCTGGAGTTCTGATGATCAAATATCATATATATGGCCAGTGTCGTTTTTAGTTCATAGTCTTAAACACGAACAAAGGCTAGAAGCCCATAAGGCCCTCCAGTTCCTAGGAGATGTCTTCCTGGCTCTGGGAGATCTTGATACAGCATACAGCCTGTTCCTTGTGGCTTTGGAAATGTTCACAAAGATGCATGTGCACCGCAGCAGGGCAGAGTGCATGCTCCAGCTTGGCTATATTTTCAACCTTCGTGGTGACTTCGAACATGCAACATACCTGTGGAAAACAGCAAGACCATTGTTTGAACGATCATTACAGGCAAGGCAGGTTGG